TGTCTTACCCCAAGAAGTCAATGTGCATAAAATAATTATTTTGTTGTTCAAAATATTTATGACACGTAGAATAATATCACGTAATTATTTGACTGTTGAACTTATAAGTTTGTCTGGTCCAGATCTAAAATGCATAAATATATGGACCTGGCTTCTGCCCTTCAGTTTCCATACAATCTTATCCATTCTTAATTTGTGCGGTCATAGTTAAGTCATACTAATATTTTATATTAATTTTTTATAGAGATAATAAGACAAAAGATAATAATGATATAAAATGTTGAAATAACTTAACCGTGATCGCAAAAATAAAAAGAGATGAAAGTGTATGGAAACTGAAAGGGCAGAGAAGCTATGTCCTAAATATATAATATATATTTGTTGATTGACCACAAAAAGTTATATTTGTTTGACTTTCAAACAACCCAATGAATTGTTTTATTTCAACAAGTGCTATCAAATGTCACGTTAGATTTGTCAAAAAAAAAAGTCACGTTTCAGGACAATAAATGTCATGTTTAGCCAATGCAAAGAGAATCATGTAAGGAGTAAAATTTTCTCCCCTCTTTTTTTTCCTTCTCTTCCCTCATCTTCTATTTGAATGATTACAGTTAAGTCGCGTCAATATCTTATATTAATTTTTTTATAGAAAGAGAAAGACAAAACAGAGAATGTGAGAGGATGAGATAAAAAGGATAAAAAGAGAAAGTAAGAGAATCCTAGTCCATCATGTAATGTGTTATTAGGCCTGATAAACGGGATCGCTTTTGTCATGTTTGTGTCGTATTTTTTATCACACATGCTATCTTATTGAGCTGTATGATTTCGAATCGGTTATTTTAATGGATTTTTAATTGGTGATCCTATAACGACTTGATTCGTTAACATGTCGTGTCATTTTATTTTTCGTGTCGGATTGACAAGTAGTGCAAGAAATTGTCAAACTTATGTGTGATATTTCTATTTTTAGGGAGGTTGCTTTCGAATTTAAAGTTTACGGGTCCTGCAAAAAAATAGCAAGTGGTCCTCAGCTCAAGTGTTTACATTATCATCATCCACATCTACCAAAATGTGTTAAATTATTCACTAACGTGCTGAAGTGAAGATGGCAAAAAAACAAAAAAGGTGCTTGAGTGAACGCATTCTATTTACAACTTTGGAAGGAAATTTGAGAAAGTCAAATTTTACACCATCAAAAGATAAAGGGTATTTGTTTGGTCTAGTAATACTTCGTCTTCGTTTGATTGGTGAACTTATTATATTTGACTCACACATAAAGAAAGCAGCTGCTGCATTTGTGTTAAGAAATGTTGAAGCGCAACTCATTGGAGTTGGAGTTTTAAACTTAGACGGTGTAACCATCTCGGTGGATGAGGCCATGACTCTAAGAGAATGTCTAAGGTATGCCAGACATAGAGGAATCAAGAACATTATGGTGGAGGGAGATTCAAGATTGATTATCCAATCGGTGCAGGAAATCTGGGATGCTCCATGAAACCTGAAATCTATTATTAAAGACATAAGATGGTTGGGCTTTGAGTTTAACTGTATTTAGTAGAACCATGTATACAGAAAAGCAAACTTTGTAACTGACGTCTTGGCACATAATGATCTCACCTTATCTTGCCCTAACTTTTGGGAGTATTGTTTACCGACTTTAGCTCATAATGCTTTTATATTTGATTGCATGAGAAGTTGTGCAATAGATTTTAAGCTTTGAATGATGTTTACTTCTTGATAAAAAAAAATAAAAAAAAAGTGAATTCGAAAATTATTCATTTTTTTATTTCTCATGTGTTTACAACTTTACCGTCTACTTATACAGTAAGAAATATCATTAGACTGTAATACTAAGTGACCAATTAGTTGTGTATTTAAAAGCAGATAATTATGTGGACCAACAAAAACAAGGGCATCCTTCTAAAAGGGACAAGTAAAAAGGTGGCAAAGAGTCAAGTACTGTAACATCCCACATCGACCAACAGAGAGGGTGTGATGTGCCTTATATGTACATACCCACCTCCATATAACACGAGGCCTTTTTGAGAACTCACTGGCTTCGGATTCCATCGGAACTCCGAAGTTAAGCGAGTTTTGGCGAGAGCAATCCTATGATGGGTGACTCACTGGGAAGTTATTGTGTGAGTTTCTATAAACAAAACCGTGAGGGCGTGGCCAAGGCCCAAAGAGGACAATATCGTGCTCTGACGAAGTTGACTGGAATGGGACAGAATGATATCAGAGCCATTATGCCATGTGGTGTGAGTGTGTCGACGAGGACGTTGGGCCCCTAAGGGGGTGGATTGTAACATCCTACATTGACCAACGGAAAGGGGTGATGTGCCTTATATGTACATGCCTACCTCCATATAGCACAAGACCTTTTGGGAACTCACTGGCTTCGGATTCCATCTGAACTCCGAAGTTGAGTGAGTTTGGGCGAGAGCAATCCCAGGATGGATGACCCACTAGGAAGTTGTTCATGAGTTCCCAGAAACAAAACCGTGAGGGTGTGGCCCAAAACGGACAATATCGTGTTACGGCAGAGCCGGTCTGGGATGTGACAAGTACTATGTTTTTTTTTTTTTGAACAAACTTTTTTTTTTTTTGGAATAAACGATATTATCTACATTAAATGAGAAATGATGTGCTTAATCTCACAATGAGCTAACAATAATGTGGTTGAATTTTGCCCTTGACGAGAATCAAATCTAAGACCCTTCACTTACAAGTAACGATGAATACTACTGGACAATAATACTAAATGACAAATATTGTGTTACCATGTTTGGTTACAATATTTAAAGAGAATGGATCGGGGGACCATACCCTAAGTAAGTAATTAGAAATTAATACAAAATCTTGAAACATATACGCTATTTATTAAACACGGATTGTTATGAGTAGTAATACAAAAAATATTTAAAAAATTGAAAAAAAAAAAAGTTCCACTGATAAAAGTAATGGGCACTATAAGCAGTAAGTTTCTGATAAGGCTGATCAGTTGGCACTAACACACATCTCTTGTTATGTATTGAATTACATGAAGTTATCTCTAACAAATAATCTTCAACTATATAAATCAAGTAAAACAAACAAAAGTATTACCTAACCACTCTCAAATCAAGAAAAAGACAATGACTAACATAATTGGTGTCAACGTAGCAGAAGTAAATGCGTGTGACCGTCACGTGCAAATTACGTATTTCAAATCCGACGTTTGCCTTTTTAAAATTGGCACTTTGGACACTTTCGAATGTAATAAAAGTTTTTCTACTAACTTTAAATTTTGTGGTAGTTTTCTACACTTGGTTGAAGGTGATTTCAAGTTTAATTTACATCATGACAAAACAGTGAGGGCGTGGTCGGGGCCTAAAGTGGACAATATCATGCTCTGACGGAGCAAGACTGGGATGTGACAAAATGGTATCAGAGCCACTATGCCATGTGGTGCGAATGTGCCGACGAGGACGTCGGGCCCCTAAGGGGGTGGATTGTAACATCCCACATCGACCAACGGAGATGGGATGATGTGCCTTATATGTACATGCCCACCTCTATATAACACGAGGCCTTTTGAGAACTCACTGGTTTTAGATTCCATCAGAACTCCGAAGTTAAGCAAGTTTGGGCAAGAGCAATCCCAGGATGGGTGACCTACTGAGAAGTTGCTCATGAGTTCCCAGAAATAAAACTGTGAGGGTGTGGCCCAAAGTGGACAATATCATGCTACGACGGAGCAGGTCTGTGATATGATAAGTACTGTGTTTTTTTTTTTTTGGAATAAACGATATTATCTATATTAAATGAGAGATGATGTGCTTAATCTTACAATGAGCTAACAATAATGTGGTTGAAATTTACCTTTGACGAGAATCAAATCTAGGACATCTTACTTACAAGTAAAGAGGAATACTACTGGACAATAATACTAAATGACAAATACTGTGTTACCAATTTTTGTTACAATATTTAAAGAGAATGGATAGGGGGACCGTACCGTAAGTAAGTAATTAGAAATTAATACAAAATCTTGAAACATATACCCTATTTATTAAACACGGATTGTTATGAGTAGTAATACAAAAAATATTTAAAAAATTGAAAGAAAAAAAGTTCCACTGATAAAAGTAATGGGCACTATAAGCAGTAAGTTTCTGATAAGGCTGACCAGTTGGCACTACACACATCTCTTGTTATGTATTGAATTACATGAAGATATATCTAACAAATAATCTGCAACTATATAAATCAAGTAAAACAAACAAAAGTATTACCTAACCACTCTCAAATCAAGAAAAAGACAATGACTAACATAATTGGTGTCAATGTAGCAGAAGTAAACCTGTGTGACTGTCATGTGCAAATCACGTATTTCAAATCCGACGTTTGCCTCTTTAAAATTGGCACTTTGGACACTTTCGAGTGTAATAAAAGTTTTTCTACTAACTTTAAATTTTGTGGTAGTTTTCTATACTTGGTTGAAGGTGATTTCAAGTTCAATTTACATCATGGCGACACAACATACATTTACGATCAATTTGTTACCTAATCGACATATTTTCATTGCGATTCTGTTGCACAGACTTACGACAAATAAGTTAAGGGTAAAGAAAAATATCAGGTTCTAGATACTCACATTTTCTTTAAATGCGGATATATTGTCGAAATACAAGCGATATTGCGTCTTCAAATACAGTTAACTACGACACGAAAATACTTGGTGGACAATAAGAAGATGAAAATCAAAGGGGTCAGGAAGCGAACGAAAGCGGTAGAAGTGACAAAGTGAGTATCGTAATGTTTAAAGGGTTGAACAAAAATTCAAGGCGGCCCCACATGCGATTACCTTTTCTGGGTGCCCACTCACCACGTGGTGCTCGAGATCAGAGAAGGAATATGATAAACGGACTCACAAGAGCCGCGTTTTGACCCCCTCAAGAGGCAAAAAGGTAATTTCCCCCGCCCGCCCCTCCCTTTCCCTTCCACCCAGCCAACCGTCCTTGGTGTGAAAGCCCACTTCCTTCCCTGCCTACCCCAACAACGACCCCCCTCTCTCTCTCTCTCCTCCGTTTTTTTCTCCCTCTCTCTTTCTTCCACCCAATCTCCTCCCAGGTGTCCGCCTGTCGACAGCGCCGTGTGTGGCCGCCCATTCACTCACACGGACCAAAAACAGACCAGATAATGCCCTGTCCCATCCGCACCCGGTGTTCCATGTGCGCTGCTGCCGCTGCCGCTTTAGCTTTAGCTTCTCATAATTGTAGTTCCAACTCCTAGGGTTTTCAATCTCTCTCTCTCTACAAATCCGTTCAATTCTTTTGCTTCAATTGTAGTTTGTATGGAGCTTGAGCAAGCTCAGCTCGCCTCGGCCTTTTATGGACCCAGTATGCAAGAAGACGGAGGCGGAGGAGGAGAACCGCCGCAATCGCAGGAGGTGTTTGACCGGTCGATGCCGGCGGTGAAGGACTGCATGGCGGCCGATCAATGCGAAACGATCGGCGGGGGGATGGTTGTTGGGAAGGCGGGGCAGATGGTGGTGGTCAAAGAGGAGGCGGGTAAGAACTTGGGGAAGCGGAGGCGGGGCCGGCCGCCCAGCGGGCATGCCAAGGCGACGGCGGTGAGCAAGATGCAGGACGAAGAAGAAGACGTTTGCTTCATTTGCTTCGACGGTGGAAGCCTCGTGCTTTGTGATCGCAGGTGAGAATCCGGTTCTTCGCGGTCGCAGCTTGGTCAAATTCAGTCCAATTTTGATTAGTCCATGCTAGAAAAGCTGAGAGTTTTTACTTAATTTAGCTGATTTGGGTTATTTCATTTCCTTATTGGCAATCCAACGGACAGTTCGAGTCGATTTTATGTTTTGTTTTGCGAAATTTAGTGAATGTTGTTGTTGCTTATTTGCATTGCTTAATTAAGCCTTGTTTGTGGATTGTTACTTGTTAGGGGGTGCCCTAAGGCATACCATCCATCATGCATCAAGCGGGACGAGGCCTTCTTTAAATCGAAAGCCAAATGGAATTGTGGTATGTTGCACTATGTTAACCTACTAATTTGTTATAACTTATATCCATCGCAAGTTGAGTTATGATAGTTGTGTGCTTTGTTCACGTTTCGGTGTTTTGGATATTATGCATGTCAGGTTGGCATATATGTAGCAGTTGTCAGAAGGCTGCCCATTATTGGTGCTATACTTGTACATATTCTCTGTGCAAAAGATGCACTAAAGGCGCGGATTATCAATGTGTACGAGGAAATAAAGGATTTTGCGGAACATGTATGAGAACTATCATGCTAATTGAGAATGTGCAAGAAAATAAGGAAGGGGTATGCTTGAACACACTTTGGTGTATTTATTTACTTACAGTCATGTAGTTTTTACCTACGAATTAAGGATTCTCAGCTTTGTTGAATTTGGAGAGGGATTAGATTGATTAAGAACAGCATATAACTCTTTTATATCAAGAATGCTTTATGTTTTTGTTTTATGTCCTTCTTTAAAGCCCGACGCTGTAATAAAAGTGGTATTCCATTACGTTTCACTCTGATAGAGTTTGTTAGGAAACGAATATCTGTTTAGTTTTTTATTTATTTTTACAAACTTCCATCTGGGTTTTGCAATTTTTACCATTTCCCTTTCTCATTTAAATTTTCTGCAGGCTCAAGTTGATTTTGATGACAAGAGCAGCTGGGAGTATCTCTTCAAGGTTTACTGGATTCTTTTGAAAAGGAAACTATCCTTAACTTCGGACGATCTTTTTAAAGCTAAAAATCCATGGAATGAAGCTGCCGTTATGGTTGGTAAGGGGGATTCTTCAACTGAACTATATGATGGTAATAAAACAAATTCAGGTGCAGTCAACTGTTGTGCAGATCTGGAAGCTACACATTCAAAAAGAAGTAATAAAAAGCCCAGAACTTTGGACAAGGATTTGAGTGTTGAAGACACAGTTTGGGCGTCAAAGGAGCTCTTGGAGTTTGTTGCTTATTTGAGAAATGGTGATACATCTGTGCTATCGCAGTTTGATGTCCAGGCACTTTTGTTCGAGTACATAAAGAAAAACAATCTTCACGATCCTCGCCAGAAATGCCAAATTATTTGCGATTCAAGACTCATAAATCTTTTTGGGAAAGAATGTGTGGGTCACTTTGAAATGTTAAAGCTTCTTGAATTTCACTTCCTCATTAAGGAAAGTTCCAAGGCAGATAACATTATTAGCCCTGGAGTTGATAATACTGTTGGCAGCCAAATGGAGATTGATGGGAACTATGATAATCAAATGATGATGCGTAATGATAAGAGGTGTAAAACACGCAAAAGGGTAGATGAGAAAGGACCACCGACCAATCCTGATGGATTCGCCGCTATTGATCTTCACAACATTAATCTGATTTACTTGCGGCGTAACTGGGTGGAGAAGCTTATTGAAGATGTTGACAAATTGCATGAAAAGGTGGTTGGTTCAATTGTGCGAATAAGAATTCCTACTGGTGACCAAAAGGAAGATATTTATAGGCTTGTCCAAGTCACAGGTACTAGTTTACACAACCAATGTTCTAAGTTATTTCTTATATTTTCACAATAGGTCGTGCAAAATTTGTATTGATGACATCTTTTTCTGCAGGTACCAGCAAGGTTGCTCAACCTTATAAAGTTGGCACAAAAACAACTGATGTTAAGCTTGAGATCTTGAACTTAAAAAAGAAAGAGGTTATATCAATTGACGAGATCTCTAATCAGGAGTTCTCCCAGGTCAGTGAACTTATCGCCTACTCTCCTCCTCCCGGGGTTCCTTGATATAACTTATCTACACATGCTATAATTTTTTTTTTCGGTAAGAATTCTTTTGGAACTGACGGTTAAAAAATAAGTGTGCATTAGTATAGATATCAATAATGAAAGCTCTTGGAGCCTAATTGTTTATTTGTACCTGCCTGTCTTCAGTTATGTGGACTTTAATACGAAAGGGTGCTGGGGGAGCGTTTGCCCTCACCATTAATGACTGACTTGAAACCTATATCCACACTATTTTCAGTCCTTTCTAGACATGGAAATAATGATATAACCAAAAATACACATTGACTAAGGCATGCTAGCTTTTCATATACAGTTTTTATCGGTCACAAGACTGTCTGTTGAAGTGTGTTGCTCGTGTTGAGATATTTATTCCCCTTCATCCCCCTCTTACTCAATTGTGACATTTTACTTATTTTACAGGATGAATGCAAACGATTACGTCAAAGTATAAGGTGTGGGCTCAGCAAACAGTTGACTCTGGTAGGTTTGCATGTTATGTACAATATGTGATGTTCAAGATATTTGCAACTCCTTTAACAAAGGAATATTTATGCTTGGTGTTGCAGGGTGAGATTCAGGAGAAAGCAATGGCCCTTCATGCAATTAGAGTAAATGATGTAAGTTCCGTTACTTGTAATTCTGAGGCAAGAAGAGGATACATTTGTGTTTTTATGGAAGGACTTTAGATGATCTTTCTTTTCCCGTTTTAGTTAATAGTTATTACTGCCCCATTTAAGTATATTCGTTGGCTTTTATTGTTTCTCCTAAATAAATCGTCAAATGCTATGTCTGATATTGCTTTTTGGTTGACCGTGGTCTTGTTTTTTAAACTAGTGTCTGGAAGCAGAGGTATTACGGATTAGTCAGCTTCGTGATCGAGCAAGTGAAAAAGGACGCAGAAAGGAATATCCTTTTTTGTTGATTATTCTATGTTTTTAGTTTCTTTAATGACATTTCTTGCACATTGTTGTGGATTATTCCAGTTGCACTCTCTGTTTACTCATTGATTACTTGTAGCACATTACTTAGTACGAGAGGCGGTTTCATGGGTACCCGTGTACTCTATTCTTCATATTGTCTTGTGGCAGAGGTATTTTGGTCTAAGAATATCAAGTTTTCCTTGACCATAGTTTACGCTTAGACAATGTGTGGACAAACTACAGCTTCTGAACTCGCTAGAGGAACGTCAGCGCAGACTGCGTGAAATTCCTGAAGTACGCCCTGATCCTAGTATGGATCCAAGTTGTGAGTCCGAAGGCAGTGCTGGAGCATTCGATAAGAAACAAGGTCCCTTACATTGATTTAATAGACATGGAATAACATCTTATCCATTTATCTTTTTCAAGGCTTCTTTTGGAAATGTTAATTTGGTGTTAATTGCGCTGATGTGTATGCAGATGCCAAGGTCAGACCAAGGAGATCTGGTAGAAAGGGAAGGGCACCTTTCTCTCAACCAAGGGAAGGCGATACTTCAAGCAATTCTAGAAGTAAGGCACCGAAAAATCCGGGTAGAGCAACATTTGGAATAAATGGATGCAATACGACAAGGAGCCAGGTCAATCTCACTGGTTTGGTGGCTTTTGATGGGAATAATCAATCAGCAGTTGAATCCAATACACCTTCTGAGGTTGCATCAGAAAATTCATCGTTGCCCTCTTCTATAGTGACGAGTGCGAACCATTCTGTTGATGATTTTGAGACAGACATTATATGGCATTACCAGGACCCAACTGGAAAAGTTCAAGGACCATTTACACTCATGCTGTTGCGTAAATGGAATACAGCTGGGCACTTCCCTCTTGATCATAGAATATGGAAGATAGATGAGAATCCAGACAACTCCATCCTTTTGGCTGATGCATTGAATGGACAGTATAAACAACCATTATTGCCACATGACAGCCCGTTACTTTCTCAGGAATTTACAGCTGCCTCGGATGATAGAAACAATGGTCAGGATGATGGAAGGAACAAGAGTATGAACACAACTCCAATAGATGGTAAACAGGTTGAAGAGAGCTGGAACACGAAGCAGGATGGCCAAAGTTTGCAAAATAGTGGCAACAGTGAACTTTTAAGGAGCACTGCACCTGCTGATGTTGTCAATTCTAGTGATGAACAAACTGGAATCATTTTGCAAGGCCTGGATCAATTGAAGGATGATAATTCTTCGCCCAATCAACCCCAAGAAAGTAGTTCACAACCTTCTCCTGCATTTCCTGTGAAACCATCTGAAACTTTGTCGCATCAAGAAGGGGAGAGTAGAGGAGAGGAAATTAACTCTGATCAGAAGAATGGAAATTTGGATCCCCAACAGGCTGCTCAGGCTCAAATTACAAATGGACAGCATAATGAGAGCCGATCTGATAGTGAGGGCCATTCAGGTCAATCTTCCGGGCAAAACTGGAGGCCTCCACCTGTAAGCAGTCCTTCAAATGGCCATCATTCCAACTCGGATCTTGTTCCTTTGATTAAATCACTGGAGATTCCCGAACAAGATCAGAAGGAAAATAATTTTTCAGATATGCCCGGTCCCACTCCAAAACCAAGCAATGGAGACTTACAAGGTCAGGCAGCTGAAAATAGACAGTCTGTGCCTTCAAATGTTCCTGTTCAGGATGCTGGCCATAGCTGGAGCACCTCTTCTAGTTTAGTGGGTGGTGGGGCACCACTTCCGGAAGTAGATGATGACTGGGCCAAACCATCTTCTATAGAGGAATGGGAATCCAGTCTTGTCTCTGCATCTTCTTTTAAACCAAGCGAGATGAATCAGTTTACGGAACCAACTGAATTTTGTACTTTACCTGATGAATCAGTTTCAGATCTTCTGGCTGAAGTTGAAGCAATGGAGACTCTCAGCAGCTTGGCTACCCCGACTTCAATCATGAATTGTCAAGGGGACTTTACAGAGGGTTCAAAAAATGATAGTTTCAGTTCTGTAGATGGATTCAGCCCAGCACCCGACCCTGGAAAAGGTGATGCTTTGAGCTCCACTGGTGATTTACGGGTTTCCAAGGCGATGGATGAACCAGTTGGGGTATGTCAGGGAAATGCACTTGATTTGAGCTCCACTGCTAATTTACAGGTTTCCATGGTGACGGACGAACCAGTTGGGGCATGTCAGGGAAATGCTCTTGATCTAAAAAACAGATCTGGTGTACATTCGTCCACAAGCCCCGAAATGGAGGGAGACAGAAAGTACAGTGATCTTTCAGTTAACCAATTTGAGGCAGGTACAGAGATGCGAACCACTGCACCATCGGACATCAACAATCATTGGAACAGTAGGTCAGAAAGCACAGGAAGGAGTTGGGAAGCAGTTCAGCCAGTTCCGATAAATGCAAACATGGGACGGGGAGGACCAGACCAAAGAAGTGTAAACCTGGGTTGGGGAGATGGTCAGGGGATACCGCACGGAAACACGAGCATACATCCAGGTCATCAGTTGCCCGCCGGGAGAATGTGGGAAAGCCAACCAAGGTACGGCGGCGGCGGAGAAAGACTCTTGGGTCCAAGAGATCGTGGTTTCCAGAATAGGGATTTAGGTATGGGTAGGGGTAGGTTTGGATGGAACAGGCAGACGATGCATGGAAATGGCAATGGAAATGGAAGTTCGTTGAGGCCTCCTCCCAAAGGGCAGCGGGTTTGTAAATATTACGATAGCGGGCACTGCAAGAAGGGAGCATCCTGTGGTTATCTGCACCCCTGATTTTTGGGTCTCAATTCTCAAACAAGAAGATTAGACACATTTAATTATGTAATCATTGCTCGTAATTAGGAGGCTCCTTGTTGCCAATTGCTGTAATTTAACCTGTAAACGTAACTTACGTAAGCCGTCCAAGTGGCTTAAGTGAATAATTATTATTTTTGGGGGATAGGTTTAGCATAATTTTGGAGTGTACCATATTATTTGTGGTATTCATTCCATGTTTCATGTAATATCTGACGTCCACAATGGACCTTTTACGTTTTACCAACCCAAACAAGTAAATTCCCTTGTGTTTTCTTTTCTTCCTTTTTAAACGAATGAAAGTGTTTTGGAACCAAACTTTGGTAAAAATCCAAATTAAGTGCTTCCAGCAAGAAGCATATCACAGGTGCTTTTAGCAAAAAACACCTCAATCGCTTGAAAGTGATTTCAGTTATTTAAGAGCCTCCGCCAAAGGAATCCTAAATTTTTCTTAGATGTCGACTCCATTCCATCATACATAAAATGTGGGTCATTTAGCAATGTCAACTTACATTGCTGGCCACCGGAGTGAAACATATGGAGTCAATTGGCCGGAAGGTTGATACACATGAATAACTTTCACATTTGTACATTTATCATCTGACAAAGTGTAAAATAGTGACTAAATGAGCTGAATGCAATCCCGGGTGAACTTTTCCTTGAGCTCATTTTGATAAATAATAAACTATTTTATATTAAATTCATCTCAATTACGAAAAAAAAGATTATACGCATAAGTGAGTATCTCATAATTTTAACAAATTTAACTAACCTCGGTTGTGTTGGGTACTCTTTTGAAGGAATGCTCAAGCTCAACTTTTTTTTTTTTTTTGGAATGATTTTAAGGGAATGCTCATTACTCAAGCTCAACTTTTTTATTTATTATTTATTTTTTAAAACAAACGGTAGTATCTATAATAAGACTTACTCAAACCTTTAGAGTAAAACTCAAATTTTAGGTTCTAAACCTATCTCAATTTGCTCCAACTCTTGGGCCAAATATGAGTTTTAACCCAAAACTCATTTCCGAGGCAAATTTAGGCTAGAATTTCCTTTGGGTTAGTAGTGGACTGGCTCACTATATATGTGTGTTTTTTTAAGTTTTATATTTATAAATCTATTGAATCTAATAACTAAAATCTAATATGATCAAATCCAACAGTAAAAAAATAAAAATAAAGATCTAACAGTCTAAATTTAAATCTAAGGGCTAAAATAAATATAAAAAAAATTCTTTCATGTGTTTCATATTTTTTTTGTAGTGTTCCATGAGTTTGATGGTGTTGATTTAGTGATTTTTCAATATTTATCAGAATCTAAATATTTTTAGGTTAAAATGTTCATAAAATTAAATTAGGGTAGTCTACATAATTTTTTTTAAAAGTTACTTTAAGAAAAAAAAATTATCTTAGATTCATTCTTTAACAAACAAATTATACTTAATTCATATTTTAATATGATCTTGGGTTAAAAAGTTAAGCATATTTTAATAATCTCGGGTTAAAAAGTTAAGTATAAGCGTCGGAGGAGAAAATCTATATCTGGATTAAAACCTAAATTTTAGTTGGAGATGGCCTAAGAGATGTTTTCCATAATGATATGATTCAAATTTGCATTTGACGAAAATTAAATCTAAGACTCATCACTTATAAATTAAATCTAGAGAACTTTAACGAAAAGCACCCGAGCGTTGGCGGGTCCTGGAGTGCCTGTCAAGGGCGCTAGCGCATACCCCGGGGTGATCATCACCACCTGCACCTCACATCTCGGCACAGTGGAACGTGTAACCCGCCTGCTGTCTCATTCAACTACATTTGTTCCTGTAATCCATAGCCGGTACTGTTCACTTTAACGAAAAACCACATTTTTACACTAAAAAGTCAATCCTGGTACTATTCACTTTACCCTTTATTTTGTCCTTATCATTAAAACTCAAAGTTTTCAAGCCCTTTTAATTAGTTTTCTATTAAATCTAAGGCTCAACTTTAATCATAAAAAAAATTAAAATAAAAAATAGTCCGGTAAATTCGTAAGCGAGAGAGCATTCCGTGCGAGTAAAAAACCATGTGTGGGGGCACCCGAGCAAAATGGTGGTACACGAACGAGAGAGCGACCGCGACACAACGAGAAGAAGACAGTCGCAGATGACACAGTGACGACGACGACGGCGACGGCTGCCATGGATACGAACAACAACAGCAAAGACGAGCTCCGGGACCAATCAAAAACCTCCCAAAAAGGCAGATCATGCAAAGGAACACTCTATTATTCATCCGCCCTCAAATCCAAGGCTTACAATCCTCTCTGCGTCGGCGTTCCTCGCTCCATCCCCGAAGGTTTCATCTCTCCCCTTTCTCTTATCTTTGCTATTTTCTGTTTGGTTCTCGAGAAAGTTTATACGAAAACATTAGTTTCTTCACCATCGGACCTATTGTATCACCAGAAATCTTATCAATTGCGCAACTTTTGGTTCTCTTTCTTTTGGATTTTGAGTTTTACGGTTTCAATTTCTAAAATCTGAATTCTGATTTTGTGTTTGCTTGGATTTATTACGGAAGTTCTTTTCTTTTTGTCATTTTATCATTTCGCCTTAAATTTGAGATTAATTGATGATAATTTTGCTTAGGAAATTAACCAAGTCATCATCTTTGAGCTGCAGTCTGATTTATTTTGCCATTTCCCAGAAAGGGTTGATCTTTCTCCGCCATTTTTGTGATTGGAATTTATAGCCGCCTTATTTTGTAGTTGAGATTGTTGGTTTGGTGTTTACTCTTCTTTTTGTGAGTTGAAATTCGTTTATCAAAGTTGTATTGGACTAGTTACTAATATGTAGGTTTTGGTGACCAGTGCCTCAGTCAATAGTTTCGGAAACTGAGACGAAAGCTTCTAAAGATGATCGACATCTTACTGAATTTCGTTATGCTTGTGCTGGTTACTCGCTGTACTTGGATCGAATTACGAAAGACCATTCTGGAAAGGAACAACCAGAATTGCCTGTTTGCTACGGTCTCGAGGTTTAAAATCTCTCCTCTCTTTCCTAAGCCCTCACACACAAAAACACACAGATTAAAACATTGTATTATGTGTTAATATGAGATGTGGGGGGTTCGTGTGCTTGATTATTGACCTTAACATATTGCTTAAATGCATGGAGCTGTGCAAGTCCCTTTTCGGGTTTCTTTTATATTAATTGGATTAGCTATTAATTTTAGGGCTCGTTTGGTGCCTAGGACCGGACCAGAATGGATAACTCTTATAATTCATTTGAAGATAGAGGCTAATGATTTTTCATTTTGAGGGGAGTAGACATGAAGGAGGTTATCCTTGTAATCCTAAAATTTTGGGGTGATTGCAAGGGATAAGTATCCTTGATGAGTTATATATCTTCTATCTTTAAAGGTTGGACGCAATTTTTTCATTTATTCTTTCAGTATACCTTAAATATAGTACAGTATCAAACCTAATCCAATCCCAGACACCAAACAAGCCATGGCTTTAGAGTTTAACTAATGAGATCTCGGCAGATCGTGTTTACAAGATCTAAACATATTGCATGATAACAAGCTATGAACCGTTCATTAGATGATCCGACTTGTGAGCTTCTGGTGCAAATTGGAGTTGGATCAATGTGTTTAGTGCTTAGAAAACTGGAAGTAATAAAGTCTATGCAGAAACTGACTTTCTCGACACATGAAATTTCTACATAAAATGCTTCACCCTACATTAATCTTTTTTAAGCATTCTGACTGACATGAGTTAATGCAGCTTTTGGTTGGCAAAAGAATGGTTCAAAAGACACCTGCTGCTGCTCCCGTTTCTGCCCATGTCCATCATAAACAGGGTAGGGAAATGAATTTTTGTTTACCCGTCTTTTTTTCCCTTTTATTTCTCCTTCTAGGTGTTGCTTACAATAGTTCGCCTCCAATGTAGTCAAGATCTTCCTGCAAAACTAGCACTTAGATAGTGGGGTCGAATGAGTTACTTCGGTTGAACAGACTTTCACATTGGTTAAGAATCTTAGATATATAAACTAGTGTTTGGTTTCTCGAAATGATTTCGAAAAATTCTTGTGCTCTAATGTTAAGATGAAATGTTAAATTTATCATTTAATGTCGGCTTTATTTATCCCTTGCGATTACCTTTTAGAAGTTCGTGAAGTCCCTCAGACTCAGAGGCAGCAACCGACTCAGTCTGCAGGAAGTCTTTTCTTCAACAGGCAAGCATAAGATTAGACTGTTAAAGTGAACAATCTCCTAGTTTTCTGAACGTTACGCCTCATTTGTAACGGGTTATCTGGTGTTTGTTAACGAATGTGTAGGTTTACAAGAAACGCAGATCTTGTTGCTTCAGGGGTGACTAAGAACATACGTAAAGTTGGGAACTACATAAAAGGAAGTGTCGATGATTTTCTATACCAGTACAGAGGGCGACCAAAGTAAAGATCGCTTGTTGCAAAATCCAGATGAATGAAGAAAATAACTCGAGAAGCAGGCTTCGGTTTGATTCCATATCTGCTCTCTTCGTCTTCGATTCGTCGTGGTTTTTGTGCTGTTTATAACTCCTCTGCACTCCATCCACATTTTGAGCAATAGAATGTTAGTGCAACTGCTATAGGCTTAAGAGGGCTTCTTATTTATCTTGCAACTGTTTAATAACTAATCTATGGTGATTATTATTTATTTGGTTGTGGAGGGAAGTAAGAGATTGTGCTATTTTCTAATGACATTATTATTTCTGACAATCGTTGTATACACTACTTTTACGCTTCGATTCTTGTATACAACCTTGTAGATAACTTTCCTCTCCTAAAACTCGTCATGTGACTAATATGTGAGCGCTTTAGCGTAACTGTGTAAGAGGAGTTATATGCGTCGGTTGTATACAAGATTTTTCTGGTTCAGATTATGTGAGCGGATTAATAAGAGAGACACTTGTATGAAAGTTAAATGAAAAGTTAACCGAGACAATTAGAGCCTATTTCGGGGAGGTTAGAATCACTTATAGAGAGTAGCGCTTGTAATGTGCTTCTTTATAAGTGATTTTATGCAAGACAATCGAAATTAAACATTGAAACAACTGATAATGCAAGTGCTCCCAAACACGATTACAATCGATGAATGCTCATGTGAAGCTAAAGCGTCTGTCATGAAATTAGCTCATTAACCATTCGGGTTAATGGAGATTCCTCTTTCACTAAACCACTATGATAATCTATCAGTAAGCAGCACCAGGGCGACCAAATCGACCTGCATACAGCTCTGGGCTGGCTTATCGCAGACACGATTAAACACTTAATTAAGAAGGATTAAGCACTTAATTAAGAATCATGCTTACGACCGTACAAACACAATTAGCAGCTTCCGAAAAATAGAAATAGTCTGCGCCCTGTTTGGCACGGAAGCTAATTTAACCAGAGGAGGAGACAAAGCAAACCGCGAAATCAACAGGATCCTCCCTGTACTTATATTTTGCGAATTCCGAGACGGACAAGGGACAACAATCCTATCCTATCCAATCCAATCCTGCAGGATTTCTCAGCTGGAAAAATAGCATATATTTGCTCTTAGCTCTCCGGCTCGTAGCTTTCCGGATACAGGTACGTACTGGATCGGATTGAATTTTCAAACTTTTACTGTTTTCTATCGTTTTCTCGCGTTTTCTCGGTAACCAAACGGTCAACATTTCTCTTCCGTGCGTGCAGATTCTCGGCAACCAATCGATTGAAGGATTGAGATTGAAGTTAGCATTGGGAATCAGGTGCGGAAATCGAATTCGAATGGCCGCTGCCGCGGCTTGCAGACGGGTTGCCCAACTGGGGACCGGGTCGGGGATCGGATTATCCGGTTTCGGAGGGGCCGGTGGTGGCTCGAGAGCGGTGTCTCCGTCGTTGGAGTACAGGCATTTGGATTGCAGGCTGACTTCTCAGCTGGTCAAATCAAATGGAAAGCGGTTGTTTCTTGTCGATACATTAGCGTTGGTAAGTAATCGAATCGCTTTCTCTTGAGAATGACAATTTGAATTTTTGAAAATTGCATGAATATGCAAAATCAAACGATGACAAATTTACAGTGATATTAGAGAGGTTGTAATTGTTGCTAATAATATGCTGCATTGTGTTTAGGTTAGGAGATTAGAGGGACAAGGCGTGCCCTCGAAGCACGCCGAGGCGATAACATCTGCCATTACTGAAGTTTTGAATGACAGCTTGGAAAATGTGTCTCATTCATTTGTTACAAAAGGAGAGATGCAGAAAGTAAGGAGCTTTCATGTGTACTCTAATTTTCCCGTTTAGTGATTACGTCTGTGTATGTTGTCGTTCATCGAATTATGATGGTTGTATCTGAATGTATGTTCTGCGTAATTGTTTATAGACGGAGATGATCCAAGAATCCAACTTGTCCAAATTCAAATCCGAAATTCAAAGTGCGCAGGTACTTAACAGCTCTTTCCGTTAGTCATTACCATGAGATCGTGGTTTGTGTTTAGTTGTCGAATTTTTTTTTTTTTTCCTGATATGTCGATTTGTGGATGATTCTGTTCTAGTTGCCGTTCAAATCTATTTACTGTTTTGTTTGTATGCAAACTTTATGCCTGATTGACGTTTCTATAATAAGCTTTGTAATTGGTTTTTATCTGCGTTTGTTCTGTGTATAAAAGTCGCCAAATCATTAATGGTTTTCTAATTGGACTGCATTTTGGGTTTCAACTGATGATGTTGTCTCCAAGATCCCGTTAACATCAGCAGACATGAATGTCGTATCTAATTTTCAGTCACACTAAATAGCTGCCATTGGTTCTCTGAAAGAATATGTTATGCAGGGACACCATTTTTCTTTGTTGCAACACGAGACTGAAAAACTTCGGAATGATATAGAGAAGATGCGGAGTGAATTGAGGTCTGATGAATGCAGTTACTTTACTGTCATTTCCTGTCTGTTTCCATGTGGATATGTGTTTGCTTTCTATAATCGTCATCACAGTGCAAATGTTTTCATTGTGATGCAGGTATGAAATCGACAAAGTTACTGCAGGACAGCGGTTGGACTTGAACCTGGAAAGAGGGTAAGTGAATACGTTAAATAAAACATAGTATTCTCTGAGTTCATCAAAGTCTCTGTTTGAGTTATGAAATTGACTCGCCTTGTTCATTCTTTTGGTTAATGAGTACAGGAGGATACGAGAAGAGCTATCAAATCAGAATGCTGAAACCAATAACCTCACCAACAAACTTGATCGGGTAAGAATTGGTTGACTACTTTTTCGATTTGAACTAGGAGCGCACCATACAATACGTTTTACTAATGCTTAATACTATCAGGAAATTCATGCTTTAAGGGCTCAGGTGGAAGCAGCAAAATACGATGTCATAAAATACTGCATAGGTTCTCTGGTATCGATATCTGCTGTCGGTCTCGCTGTACTCCGTATCTTAAAGTAAACTTGTTCTATAGTTAACGATGACGAGTCCCAATAGGGGAAAACTGGGAAAGGTTTCATTCTTTTCAAGCTGTTGTAATTTTAAGAAATGTGATAAAGATGTGAAAGATAAGGCAAAGTCATTACATTGTAAGTTGGATCAAGGAAGCATTCAATTAGGCAAAATTCATATTTTTGTCCTTTTTTCGTTCTTTTCAATATTCTTTGGTAAATAATCTGTAAATAGTTTCATTTTGCACTCCCCGATTTCTTATATGTTGTTTTTGCTTTCTGATGAGTTGAGCGTTTTGTCAATTTTTTCTTGAAGTTGTTGAGATTTGCTAATGCCTTCGCCCATGAGCGGTAGGTCTCGGGTTCGAGACTTGGGAGCAGCCTCTCCATAAATGGGGGTAAGGCTAGCCGACATTCACCTCTCCCAGACCCTGCGTAAAGCGGGAGCCTTGTGCACTGGGTACGACCTTTTTTTTGGTTGAGATTTGCTGCTCAAAATTAGGATGATGCATAAATTAAGTTTATGTTACCTATTTCGTATTGGTGTCCTATTTGGGTTTGATTTGACTTCTTGGTTGGATTCCCTGTTTGGTGGAGAGATTTTGTTAATTACCTATTTGATTAGGGTTTAGTTTATGGTGTCGTCACCATTGCTTTAGAGCGTTTTCTCTAATTGGGTTTCGGGGTGCAGGTCATCTTTTGGAATCATGAGTGCGTGGCAAACTCATGGCTCATTTGTTTGGCAATTTGGTGAGAAGAAATTTGTGAGTTGGAGAACAATTTGGGAGAACCTTCTCTGTTTGTTGTGGGTTCTCTACTCGTTTGGTTTAGGGTTTGTAATTTGTGGAATTTGAGTTGTGAGAGTTAAACCTTATGCGTCACACCTGAGCGTTCCCGATTGGACAACATTGAGTTGACGTGGCTAAGGTACTTCTGTGTATCGGGGCTCATTTGAAATAAAATTCCACTTGAGGATTTCTTAGTTTGGATGCCTCACTTGGACCTACTTAGACACATGGTGTCGCAAAACGTACTTGACTTAGTAAGTTGGTCGGGGATGCAAGTAATCATACTCAGGGTGGAGTTCAGAGCCACCCCTTAGATGATTTTCAAATCGCCATTTCCATTATTCCATTGAATAGTGTAGAGCCAAAGATTTGAATGTTATAACTCATAACCCTTTGGTTGCATAAACTTTTCGGAGGCTGGATGGTGCATTGGATTTCCGGGTCGGGGAGTCATGTCCCCATGTTCGTAGCCAACCTATCGTAACCGCGCTTAATACGGCTTGAACCTCTCAAACTCTTAACTAAATACTATGAAATGGGATAAAGGAGACTCCTTTGACATTAGCACTTTGAACTTTTAGACTTGCAATTATGCGAAGTTTCAAAACTTGTATTATTTGGGATTTTAGGGCATCCCTTATAATGCAAAAAAGAAAAGAACGAATAAATAGACAAAAGTTGTAGTGTAATCAAACATTTAAATTTTTTATTCATAAAAATATGGTAAATTGATAAGATGGTGTGATTGAATTCAAATAGGATTGTGTTATAAATAGGCAAAAGTAGAGAAATAACCTTTGCTAACAGCGAGGACGAAGTGGTGCAAAATATCACACTGACAAAAGTATTGCAGATATTAGAAAATGAGGGATACTGAGAGTATTATATTTCTTCATTTTCTCTTCTTGATGTTCTCTCCCATTGAACAATCAAAGTGCTCTATTTATATGGCTACCTCAACGAAAACTTACAAAACTTACTATTCACATGTGATACTTTACTATACACATTACTATACACATGTGGGCAATCCACTATTTACAACACTCCCCTTTGGATGCCCACATATCAGTATCAGTTGCCTCGTTAAAACCTTGCTTGGAAAAACCCAGTGGGAAAAAAACCATAGCAAAGGAAAAAAAGTACAATTTTACCAGGATGGTGTTGAGCATGCTTATGTTGCCTCGTTAAAACCTTGATAGAAAAAACCAAATGGGAAAATATCCTAATCAAAGGAAAAAGAGTACAACATGCATGTATCATGGATGCTCCCCTTGAATTGTATCTCCCCCTGATTCCGCATTCTTCATTGTAAGCCGACGTAATCCGATTCCCTGCACTAACTTCTGAAATGTGCACTTTTGTAGAGATTTGGTGAACAAGTCTGCTAAATTTTCATTGGAACAGATTTGTCTGACTTCAATAACTTTACCCTTCTGAAGCTTATGTGCACTGAAAAATCTTGGAGATATGTGTTTAGTCTTATCACCTTTGATGAATCCTTCCTTCATCTGGGCGACACAAG